AGCAGGAATAGAAAGTTTAAGAGATGGATAGAGAAAAGATGGTTAGACCTGAAGACGCAGCAGGTCAGGAGACAGGACACAAGGACAGCAGAGATGGAGGCAGGTGGAACTTTCCAGGCCTCTGAAGATGAATAATGAGAAACATGAACTTAATGCAGAAACTGAGATGATGCCAACTGAAGGAAATAAAAGAAAAGAATGAAATGATCTGACTGGAAGGAGATGATTTGTAAACGATCCATTTTCTGTTGATTACAGAAGGACAGAGTGAAACACAAAGTATCTGAAAAGGTGGCAGACAAGAGATGACCAGGGTGTAGAAAGACAGGATGAATTGAGGAGAGAAAGAAAAGGATGTCTTTTTAGAGAAAGATGTGACAATGAGTGAGGATCTTAACATAACATTCAAGTTATAAGCCTGAGTGGTGAAGAAGATGTTGCTTACAGATGTGGGAGGAAGCAATGGCAGAAGAGAGAAGTTCAATTTTCACCACTTTGAATGTGAATTTGTAAAAAGATACAGCTAGACAATCAGAGGTTCTACAAAGACACTGCTTTACCTGATGTGTCACCAAGCATGTTATGAGACAGATCCAGAAATTCCATTTTTTTGTTAGCCAGGATGGCATTTGCTAGATACTTAGCAGCATGGTCATTAAATTCATTTCCTGAAAGCTTAAAACTAACAACTGTAGTATTCTCTAGAAGCATAGCAGAAAGGACTTCAGCTCCTACAACTCCGAGTCTGTTGTCAGATAAGTCAATATCTGAGAAGGGAAAAAAAAACACACAACAAAAATTACCATATGGCTTGTGATGGATGAGAGGAGTGCTGTCCTTTTCTAAAATATCCCAGCATTCGCTAAGTTTTTTGTATAGTTCCTGGTAATTTTGTACACTACCATCCTTCAAATAATTTTCTGATAACATTTTGATTTCCTTCGTGTTGTCACATAATTGAACTGAAAGATAAATGGAAACAGTCTCAGGAATTGATTTTTTTAAACGTGTTTCAACAATTGTAAAGGTTTCAGCTGCACTACATTTAGAGACAGTGAAGTATCTTTCTGCACAGATGTCTTCAGAGGGATCCATTCCCTTAAAGGCCACTTCTGAAGCTGTCCTACAAGATCAGCAGAGTTTGGAACCAAATACTCTGTCTGCAGTGATGCAACTGTAACTAAAGCTGAATGCCAGGAAAGCAGTTCTCTGTGCTTTAATCTGTTTTTCCTCAGTTGCCATATAGCACCTAGCAATCAAGAATGCTTTACTGAGTATATCTTTTTGTTTTGTTAATAAAATCTTCTTTAAGGTTATGATTCTTATGTCCTGAAAGATAATAGGAGGTCTCTGAATGCATGACTAAGACTGAGAGGTCAGCTATCAGAGATTACAGTTTGTTTTCTATTTTTTTCCAAGCTCTCTGGTAAGACAGCTCAAGGTACCTCTCTGGAAGAAGTTCCCAAGTGACTTCTTTCTGGGTTCAAGAAGAAAGTGTTTTTTCACCCCCACTTGGATGGTTGCAGCATACCTCCCAAAGTCAGGGAATCTGTGACCTTGGGGAGTTTTTAAACAGAAACCTATAAAGCCAAGGTATTTTGAAGGTCTCTTGCGGGTCTGCACTTTCTGCATTTGAAGTGCCAGAGTGGGGAACAGCCTTGACATGGTGGCTATGCAGGTGGAATCATTTTAAACCAGGACCACAGACCTCATGATTTTAAAAGGACACAATTTTCCCTGCTTTCTGTTGCTGCCAGAGAGAGAAAAGGCACACAAAGTTGAATCTGCAATGCCAGAGTCAAAGCCAGTTATTTCATTTTTTCCCTAGCTTTTGGGGCAACTGGATAGCTAGGTTAGAGTAGAGTAGGAAAGCAGCTCAATGAATGCATTTGCAATTGGCTAGAGAAGTCCTGGAGCTACCAACCTTTCCTAAGTAACACACCGAGGTGAAAACTGCCCTAGATCAGGGCCAGACATCCACCTCCATGGAAGACCTGTACAACGGGGAGGAGGAACAAGAGAATGCCCTCTGAGGGCAGGAGGGAATAACCTGGTAGGGTCAAAAACAGACGGTAGTGGTCATGCCCCTCCCATACCACAGGCACCAATGCGGGAAAATGTCTCTAAAAGAGGCTGATTCTTCTTGAAGATGAAGTGCTTGGAAGCGGATGAGAAGGAAGAGCAAAGGTGCTCTGAGGCAGAGCAGAAGGAAGAGCAGAGGTGATTTAAACTGAAGAAAGCTGAAAAACGGGGCCCCCCAGCCATACCGACTAACCACCTTCCTCCAACTAAAGCTTCCCAACTCAGTAAGTTCTGAGTATGCAAGGTAGGAGATGATGCAGAGATCTTCTTAGTGAATTTCTAAAGGTTATTCAAGGTTTCTTACAGGCCTACACATTCTGCATTCAAAGTGCCGGAGTGGGGAATAGCCAAGAGGAGATGTAAGAAAGACTTCCCTCTCCCTATGGCAATACTGCTGTAAGAGTTTTCCATTGCATATCGCTACAGTTCAAAAAATGAGTTTACCTCCCCAAAAGCTGAGACTAGCTGAAATAGTGGCTTTGCTCTTTTTAACTTCCTGTCCACTTTAAGGCATGTGTGATAATTAACCTGCTACCAACTCTCTCAGATATCTAGTGTATAAAGGTGACTTTGAGCTGGATCTCTAGCTATACCCAATGGAAATCGGCACTCAATTGTGCCTGGTGCACCACAGACACTTAGGGAAAGGCAGCCCCTTCCCCAAGGAACTTGTCTAGTGCAAAGCTCATTGGTGATTTTGTGCTATAGCAAAGATCTGACCATTTTGCAGCTCTCCTTCTCTTTGCACACAGATACAAAGTCTCCCACATAGGCATGGTCCCAGTGTGCCACAGCCTGCACATTAAAAAGCCAGCTCTCATTAACTAAAAGCAAACACTAAAAATGCATCAGTAAAATAAATATTAATGCAACATCTGCATTCACTTCATTGGATAATTTCCATTAAAAAAATATCAAGAGAATTGTCCAACGAGCTCTCTGAATCATAAATGTTCATTTTTAACAAAGCCTGGCATCAGGGATTAATATTCTCAGAAAATATTTCTTGGGGCCCCTCATGCACCCCACTTTCAGAACTCCACGCTTGAGCAGTAGGACAGTAGATTTTGTGGGGAATTGTGGTGCCAAGGCTCTTGTGAGTTTGAAAATATTTAAAGAATATTTGAGCTCACTTGCCACATTGGGGGAAGTTCCAAAAGACTAAAAAGAAGTCTGATGCTTAAAACAAAACCGAACAGGAGGATCTGGTTAGTTACAGGCTGCTTGAAATTTAAAGAATGATGGGGAGAAATCTGTTTTACAGAATGATCTGGATTGTTCACTAAGCAGTCTCATTTGAATGATATCCATGAAGACAGCCAAATGCAAAGCCATACATCTAAGAACAAAAGAGCACAGATTATGCTAACAAGATTGGGGAATGGAGCTGTGAAAGCAGGAACACTGGAAAGGACTGAGATCATGGTCCCTCTGGCCAAGGAAGTACACAACCCTATCCCCCCCCCACACTTCTCTTAAGCTCCTGCCCCTTCCCCCGCCCCTGCTCTGACTTTGTCCCATCCACATTGCACTCCTTCCTCCAAACCCCCAGCCTGCCTCTTCCCCTTCCTCCTGGAGCCTGGGCTCATCTGTTAGTCTTCAGTGTTACATGCTGCTCCCACCCCTCTCCTCTCTCTGTGCTGCTGCCACCTCTGTATTAAAGGTAACAGCGTGGGGAGGGAGGAAAGAAGCAGGAGCCAGTGCATGAAGGGAGTCAGCTCCCTGTGCATATCTTCCCCCCAGTATTGCTGCCTCTGAGGCAGCAGCGCAGAGAGCGGGAGAGGGATGGGGAGTCAGGCGGCTCCGACAAGAGCCAGTGCTCATGAGGAGCCAGCTGTGCACCATTTCCCTGGGAGCTGCCCCTGCATGTAAACATGTAACCACTGAATTTTGCAGTGGTTCCACGATTACATAAATACATGTGTTTTAGCTTCCCCAACAGGAAGAGATTTTAAAAGCCTCAATCTATTTAGCTTATGCAAAATAAGATTAAGAAGTGATTTGATCATGGTATAGAAATACCGACACAGAAAAGAAATTTCTGAGAGCAGATGGTCTTTAATCTAGCAGAAAAAAGTGGAACAAGATCCAATAGCTGGAAAAAGAAGCTAGACACACCAAGGACGAGATCTAAAGATGCAAGTAGTTAGAAGTGAGTGTAATTTATCCGTAGAACAATTTACTAAGGATTCAATTCCATTAGCTGAATTCTTTAAATCAAGGCTAGATAACTAAATGATGCTAGAACTGGAACAGAAGTTACGGGCTTGCTGCAGAAGTTACTGGATGAGTTTCTGAGGCCACTTTCAGTGTGCAAGGTGAGACCAGATGATCATAAGTTGTTCCTTATGCCCTTCGGATCTAAACATCTCCCATTTAAAATGTTAGATTTTAGGAAACACTATTATTATACCACAAGAAGAGCTCTGTGTAAGCATGTCCCTCTCATCAACAGAAATTGGTTCAATAAAATATATTACCTCCCCACTAGGGATGTAAAAAAGTAGTCGACTATTCAACAAGCATTTGCTGATTGGATAATCTTTTGACTAGTTGATATCCCGCACTCCCACCCCTTTGAGACAGAGGCAGCAAGGGGGAGAGGGAAGAGTACTTCAAAGTGGCATTTCAAAGGCACAGCCACTGCACAGCTGATCCACAGATCAGCTGTCCAGCGGCTGCCCCTTTAAAATGCCACTTCCATGCCTTTCAAAAGTGTAGCCATGGATCCCGGGAATCAGCTGATCCTGGGCTCCGTGCAGCACTTCCCCAGAACCCGGGATCTGCTGGGGAGTCCCCAGCTGACCCTGGGCTCCCTTCCCCTTTGAAACTACTACCTCCGTGTCTTTCAAAGGGGCAGCCATGAAGCCATGGGGACTACCCAGCTGAACCTAGGCTCCATGCAGCATTTCCCTGGAACCTGGCTGATCTTTCGAGATTAATATTAATCAAGGGTGTAAGCTCTTAAGTCAATACATTTTGATGTATGTTTCAAAAGGTATCAATATTTATTGAAATGCAGTTCTGAAAAGCAACTGTAAAAAGGGCACGGAGAATTCTATGTTTGTGCATCTAATAGTTCTAAGAGCAAATTTACATAATTTATAAGTAAAACTACCACAGCTAGTGCACAAAATAAGCTACCAACACCAGCTCAACATCCCACAATTCCTCCCTGATTGCTACTTTGATAATCTTGTAATTGAGAGGATAGTAGGCAAACTGGGGATGGTGGTAAGTGGAATGGGAATTGGATGGGAAGAAAAGGGGAGATACTCTTCCCTCACATGCTTTGCCTTCATACCTTAATATCCACCTGTTGGAGCCTAGAGCTACTCCAGCTTCACTAAACCCCATCCACCAGATAACTATGATAAGAGATATGGGTTCAAGTCTCTGCTCCAGAACAGGGATTTGAATTAAGGTCTTCCACATCCCAGGTGAGTGTTCAAATTACTGGGTTTATAGTGAACACTACCACCACCCTTTTCTTTGTTTCTTTTCACAATAAAGAACGGATACAACTTGGAGACCTAGCTGCAGGAGTGGGTTCATGGCTGAGACTTGCAAGCAGAGACAGGCTCCTCCCTATGGACAGAATTAGGGACATACTTTCTTTTAAGGAATGGGGCCTGACCACTTTCTACTGGCCAGTTTAAGTGGCTACTTGCTCAATTTGCTAGCTGCTATGGATTCCTTTTTTAAACACCCAACTCTCCCCATGCTTTGTCGGGAGATATTGGGCATCTCACTCAGAAATATATATCCCAATGGATCGCAGGACACTTAAAATTAGGTGTTACAAAACTGAGCAAAATCTACTTTGCCACTCTTGCCCAGTCCCTATAGTACAGATATTAGCTGGACCATCATGGATGGGGCTTAGCTCCACTTGCCTGTATTTAGAGGGGGAGGGATAGCTCAGTGGTTTGAGCATTGGCCTGCTAAACCCAGGCTTGTGAGTTCAATCCTTGTGGAGGCCATTTGGAGCAAAAATGTGTTGGGGATGGTACTTGGTCCTGCTGTGAAGACAGGGGACTGGACTCGATGACCTTTCAAGGTCCCTTCCAGTTCTAGGAGATAGGCAATCGCCATTATAGAAGACAGTTTTCCTAACTGCTGGTCTGCTGCTCATGAAAACTCAACCAGGAATCTAAACAAGTTAAGTTTTTTTCTGCCTTGTGCATCATCAACAATATCCTGCAACTATTTTCCTAAATTCCAGTTCTGTTACTGAGTCATGAGCCGGAGCAGAATCCAGCTCCCTCTCTCAGAATGCTTTGCAGCAATAACAGGAGTAAAAATATATTTTAGTCAATAAAGACACAAATTCACAAAAGTAAAGACTATGAATACTCACAGAAGAACTGAATAAAAAGTCACTGTTTTAAACAATCACTTTTCAAAGTAGGGCTCAATTCTGTAGCCCTCTTTCATGTGAGTATTGCTAGTTGAGTCAACAAGATCGGCCACATATGCAAACAAGAACTTTCTCCTCTCTCATAAAACCTTATTGCCACACATGCTTCACAACAGAATTACTTTTTAATTAAGACACAAACCTGAAATGTAACAATTTTCTTTTAACATCTCTGCAACTGCAGCTGCCCCTTCTCCATTCAGCCAATTATCACTCAGGTTTAACTTTACAATGGAGGTGTTGGTCATCAAGGAAAGTGCTAAAGCTTTGGTGCCCTAGAACAAACAACAACAAAATGGGTCACTCACAGGTTAATTTGGTACAATGAACATAGTTAGTAGTTTGTCTATTTCAGCTCGTCTTAACTTTGCAAGAACAAAAGCTTCCAGTGCTCTCTGTGCATTTCTGAAGAACAACTGAAAAAGAAGAACCTCTTAATGTAGTAGAGGGCATCAGCTATATTCAATAAAGCACCCAACAATAGGTCCTTTCCTGTTGACTGGAAAAATCAATGGCAACATTTTCAACAACTTCAGTGGGTGCATAATCTAACTTAAGGAAAGTAGTGGAAACCTTCTTGTGTGAGTAAACATGAAGGCTGTGTCTACACTGGCATGAATTTCCGGAAATGCTTAAAACGGAACAGTTTTCCGTTATAAGTATTTCCGGAAAAAGAGCGTCTACACTGGCAGGCTGCTTTTCCAGAAAAGCCCTTTTTCTGGAAAAGCATCTGTGGCCAATGTAGACGTGCTGTTCCGGAAAAAAGCCCCGATCGTCATTTTCGCGATGGGGGCTTTTTTCCGAAAAAGACTACTGTGCTGTCTACACTGGCCCTTTTCCGGAACAGTTTTCCGGAAAAAGGACTTTTGCCCGAGCGGGAGCAGCATAGTTTTTCCGGAAAAGCAGCTGATTTCTTACAGTAAATCATCACTTCTTTTCCGGAAATTCAAGGGGCCAGTGTAGACAGCTCACAGCTTATTCCGGAAAAGCGGCTGCTTTTCCAGAATAAGTGGCCCAGTGTAGACACAGCTGAAGAGAAGGAAAATTACAAATGTTAGATTTCTTGAACTCAAGGACACGCGGTGCTTTCACTCATCAGTATTCTTAATCAATAACTAGTAATACTAGGATAAGTGCCATTTATGATTTTATTTGTTATTACTCTTAGCATCTGGAGACACTTTTGGAATTAATGACTTAATTTGATAAAAATATTTTAAAAATTTGGAAGTGGACATTGACATTATCCATCAAAAACTTTAAAAAAAAATCTCTATACTTTCCAATCCTAACCACAGTATAAGTAACAAGAAGATGGTTTATATCAGTTCTAATTTCCCTAATTCTGCCGTGTTTATTACCATCATAGGTGAGTACTAAGGCTTACAGCATTTTATGGCATGAATCATGCAGGAGAGTCAAGTGTTCCTGAAAAGGAATTTGAGTAGAACAAGAAGTAATTATGAACATATTGTGGATGAGACTGTTTGACACTAACCTCCACAGAGAATTTCTTTAAAGAGTTTTGGAAAGTTGTTTGAACATATGAATTTTAATCATATAACATATGACACACACACACAAACTGTTTACACCCGAGGATGATAATAATCTCATCACACAGTTCTGGGCATTTCTGTAGGTGAGATGGAGAGAAATCTAATCCAGAATCCCTCAGAAAGAATGGCCGGGTCTCGTAATGATAAGACTAACAAATTGCCCTTGAATGTGCTAGATTTCATGCGGTATCTCATTTAGCTTAAAATATTTATATTGTTTGAATGGACTCCTTTGTCCTTCTTAGATGAAAGACCACTGTCCCTAATCGCCCTTGCTTTATAAGGCGTAACTTCTGAAATTCTTAAAATGTGTTATTTTTTCTTGCTCTGGGTTTAAATTAAGCCCCCTTGTTCTGGCCTGCCGACAACTTCCAATAGATCATTTCATTTTATTTTGTTCATGCCCAAATGTGTTATATGTAATGCTGGTCTATACACAATGTTGACCACAAAACCAAGAAAATGAAAAACTAATATTAGTTTGTTTGGTAAGTATCCTTCATTCCCCATCAAGAGACTGGCATAGCCACCACACATTGCAGTACACACATGAGTAAGACGCACACATGCGTCTTAGCCATGCCTAAGGGAAAAGTGATTTATTCTGTGTTCTGTCACTTACCTGTGGGCCAAGTCCATGGTGCTTCATAATTAGTTCAGAGTCCTTCATGTGATGCAGGAAATAAGATATGGGTACCACACCATATCGTTGGCAAGCTGCTATGTAACTGGTCTTTCCTGTTGGGTCAAAAGGTTCCTTAGTTTCTACATTAGAAAAGAGACAAAGGACAGAGGAAAACAAGCTGTACAGAAAAAAAGACAACACTTCTAAATTAATAATTTTACAAAAAAAATTACCACAAAAACAAAAAGGAATATTTAGAACACGTGACACTTCTTTATAGCACCTTCTCCAGAGCCTCCATGCACTCAAATGTTACAAAAGTGAGGTAAAACTCAGAAAAGCAGAAGCTGTCCTCGCATATTTAATCTTACACGTATTTGTTCTGTAGGCATCCTAATACAGTTTTTTAAGTTATGTGATCCAAAGCTGACAGAAGTCAATGGGAGTCTTGCCATTGATTTCAAACCAGTTTTCGATCAAGGCTTTAGTCCACAAGTTACATATATACTTGAACATAAGTCCATAAGCCGTCCCACCCAAACTTACAGAAAAAAAAATGTTAAAAGTCAATGACCCATTTACAAGTCGACCCTAGTGTACAGACTTCCAGTCCCAACGTGGGCTGAGGGAGAAGCTGGCTGCAGGCACGGAGCCTTTCAGCTCCTATTGGCTGCTGTTCCCAACCAATGTGAGCTGAGAGGCTCTGTGCCTGCAGACAGCATGTCCTCTCAGACTCTGCAAGCAAACAAACCTTCCAGAGTGTCAGTTACTCCCAGAGTAACAGGATGGGAGCCAAAATTTGCAGACAGAGTTCAGGACTCGTTTCTTAAAAACAAATGTGCTAAGATTTTATTTTTATTTAAATTATATCCACATGAAATTTGACCCTTCCATTTCACAAAGTGCTAGATCTTACAAGACAGTCAAAAATACAATGAATGACAGCACTATTGAACTGAGTGTTTTTGTTTTGCTTATGTTTGTAAAGAGAAAGAAAAATAAATTAAGCATACATGCACTCTTCACCTAGAGAAGATCAGGGAAAATTGTACATTCACTTCCAGTTCTGATAGTGTTCTAAAGATACAAGAAAAATTGTGCCAAATCCAAGCTATGTGATGCTGGAAGAGATTCCTAACATTATACACATTAGAGCAGTTGACATGTTTTGTACCTTCTATTTCAAGGTCAGTATCCCACTCTTCCTCCCTCTTGCTATCCTCATCAGACTTCTCATTGTTCTCATTCCCCTCCGAATCACTCAAGTGTGTTTGTTCTGTTAGTAACATCGCTTTCCTGGGGCAGAGAGTGCTCACAAGTAGACCTGGGACCAGTCTTAAAATACATGAGAAAGTTACATACAAATTCTTCTTTTCAATAAACAAAGATAATACTCTTGGTAAGTAATGCAAATGAGGGAGAAACACAGCTGCTCTGTAACCGCTATTATTATTGAGCCAGCACATATTAACATTACAGTAAGAAATCCAATGAGTGATTCACAACCACCAATCTCATAAATTATTTCTGTACTAATGGAAGCAATTGGATTATTAGTTTAAAACTAAGAAACAGCCTTGACCTGCAAGGCCCATTTCTAGTGGTGAGGGATAGAAGTATGTTCATTCAGAGCTTACACTTTCAGCTGAAACTGCTAAAGAGTATAATAGTAACAGACCTCTAAAACTGGACTTACCATCTTTACCACACAATACATGTCAGACACCTCCAGTGACTTTTGGACATCTCATCTGGTACAACATTTCAACTGAATTACTTGGACGGGAAAGACAACTAAAGCAACATCTGAACATAAATCTGATGCACTTGCAGCATCTTTAACCCAATGTCCTCAAAGCGCTTTTGAAACATTAGTCTGGCTAATCTCTCACTCTTGGAAGATTAAATCCTAGTCTTCATCAATTTCACTACCACCTCTCAGAAAATCAGATTAACTATGTCAACATAAAAATCCTTTCCAGCAATATAGCATACATCAATGCCGGGGATGGGCAAGATGCAGCCAATGGGCTGCATTGGCCTGGCCAGGCACTGAGTCAAGCTTGCAGCTGCCTTGCTACAATCCTTACCACAGGGCAGCTCAATCTGCTTTAAACTGTGGGGGAGGGGAGGAGGGCTTCATGTATTATTCTGGCCAATAGAAGCTGAGAAATTTTGCTGGCATCAGGGACAGCATGCAAAGCCTCCTCTTTCACTCCTGCCAGTGCAGAGCCGCATGGAGCAGCCTGGGACTGTAGCAGACAGGCAGGGAGCTTGCCCCAGATTCCTGCAGGGCTGCTGGCCAGGAGCCACCTTGGTTAGTGCCTCCCAGCAAGAGCCTGCATCTGGTGCCCCACCTACCCATTCTACCCTTCACTCCCCCCCCCCTCCGCCAACTACTGCCCAAAGCCACCCCCCAAACCA